AAAATGATATTTTATATTGAATTGTAGAATACAGGTGAAGCAGATGCAGGTGTACGTGATAGTGCATTTGAAAGTGTTGGTATGTTATGGAAATGTCTTGGTGAAAAACATATTCTTCCACATGTAACAGACTTAGATGAACTTAAATTAACAAAAGTAAACATAGAATTTATTTTGAATGGAGACATTCGAATATTTATTCTTTTTTAGATAAAAGAATATGCTGAAAAAGCGATTTTATTAAATGCACGTGGTGAACCTCGTCCACCACCATCAGCTGCTCCACCTCCAACAACTACAGTCGTTAAAACGATTAAAGGTGGTGGTTCTGTTGTTGTTAAACCAGAAGTTATTGCATCTGAAAAGGATGATGATGAAGAAGACGTACCGAGTCCATCGCCTCCACCTAAAGGAAAGACAACTACTGTTAAAAAGAAAACTGCAACAGGCACTAAAGCTGGGGCTGCTGCTGCTGAAACAACAGATGACAAGAAAAAAGATTCTAAAGGAAAAGTAAATATTCTTTCAGTCATTTGTTACACGAATATAAATTGAATTTCAAAAAACAAAAATTATTTTTTACACATATCCTTTTTTCTTAGACAACTGGACCTGCATCTGGTAAAACTCCTCCAAATAATACTGCTGGCCAGGGTACTTCAACAACAGGCAAAGGTGGTCGGCCAGTAGTTGCTTCTGGAAAAGGTCGACCATCAACGGCTCCATCTCCACCAAAACAACACGTGGAAACAGAATCAGAATCAACAACAACAGGACAACAAGATCATCAACGTCCTGGTACTGCACATCGTATTCAATCAAAAATTGAAAAAAAACAAGGTCAATTTCAATTAGCACTTGATGATGATCATATGGATGCTCTACGTTTACCTGATCTAGTATCAAGTGAATTACCAAATGATTATGATCTTCCTGATTTACCACCCCGAACGTATATTTTATTAATTTAAAAATAGAATAAAATCTATTTTTTTTTATTTAGTATACCAACAACATCAATACCAGTTTCATATTTAGCTGCATCATCTGATTGTCGTCAATCAATTGATCTTGTTATTGCACTTATAGCTGATCATGAAGTTGCAAATAGTTTATCATCATTAGCACAAATCGATGAAGTTCTTAATGATGGTAATAAATGTATATTTCTTGAACAACATGTTGATAAACTTTTACGTATGCTTTCAATGAAATTACGTATTGCACAACAAAATCATTTATATGATTCATCATTACCAAGTGATAGTGTTGAACGTTTATTTCGTGGTATATTATCTGTTTTACTTGATCTTTTTTCACGTTCACATCTTGCTAAATTAGCAACACGTGATACATTAAGAGAATTACTTAATGTTCTTTTACCATTTGTTGTTGTAACAATAACACCAACAACAAATCATAGTCATAATTTAACATCAAGAATTGATATAGCATCAAATGAAGATTTTATTCGTATTGTTAATGTTATTGTATTGAAAATTTTACAAAATGCACATATGACTAATGTTTTAACAGCATTAATACGTCTTTTAACAGAATGTTGTTTACCAAATGATTTTTCAATTAATGATCCATTTGTTAAGCTTGTACTTAAGGTAATTGTAATTAAAAAAACAAAACAAAACAATCAACAATCCTCAAAAAAAATAATCAATATTTTCTTTTCTATTGAAAAGAATCATGTTTTAAATTAGAAATTTTCTATCTGATATATTTTTTTCTAGAACAAATATAGAAAGCAAGAAAAGTGAAAAAAAAAAACAAATTCCTCTTAAAAAGTTCTTGTCATGGTTTCTTTTGTTGAACTTGAAATGTCTATCTTTCTAAAATATTTCGGTCTCGATGCATCAAATTTTAATTAAAAAAATACATAAAAATGCAGTCTGTATGAAACGCTCTCTCAATATTAACCTTGGTAAAACGATTAGATACGATCTTCGTAAAATAAACATTATTGCAAGAATATTAACCATCAACTCTCGAAACCATGCGCATAAACTCTTTGTCTTTCGCGTTACTTGTTTGAAATATATCATATCTTAGAAATTCAACAGAAAAAAATCTCAACAAATATTCTTTACCATTACAAAACGGTCAGATACTGGCAATGACCAAAGTTTTCAATTTTATTCACGAATACGAATGCATTGATCTAAACATGCACGTTTAAAATAACACCTACACACGAATTTCTGAATCCTAAAAACCGTTAGTCTATTTTTATAAATTTGGTGCTAGAACAATTCGTCGCAAGATATGTTAGTCTTAAAGTATCTTAAGACACAAAAATTCTTTACTCAAACCGACGCCCACACCCCTGAATTGAAAGTTGGCAACATGGTCTAACAATGTTTGACTCTTTTTTTTTCAAAGTCTTTGCATCGCATGTATATGTTTTACAAAAATTCTTTGTCTTGTTTTTAGTGTCATTATCGTTTGGTTCGTATGTTTCCATTATCACTTAAAAATAATCCATCAGAAATTGATTCAACACAAATTTTAATTGAAATATCTTCTTTTCTTAAACAACTTCCATCACGTCGTTGGCAATCATCACCAAATAATGATTTTCCACTTCGTATAATAAAAACTTATCTTCAACAATTAGTCGATGAACGTCAACGTTTAATTCTTGATGATTTATCACGTATACCTTATGATCAACAACCAATATCAGATGAAATGCGTCATTATATACATCGTAAATTAAAAGCATTAACTGTATCATCAACAAATAGTGAACAAGTTACTCAACAACATCAAGTTATGTTAAAAACAATTTTTCAAAAATTTGCTCGTCGTGAACAAGTTAAAGTTGGTTTAGAAGAATTATATGATTTTAAATTACGTTTTCCAAATGTTGATATTAATCCATTTTTGGCAACAACAGCTGATGCTTTTCAAAAATTTATTCATGAAGGTTTATCACGTGTACATGCTCAACGTACAGCAGCAGCAACAGCAGCAGCTGCTACTGCTACACCATCAACAATAACAAATTTATCATCACCATCTTCAACTGTTCTTCGAGATAAAACACAAACAATAACATCGGTTCCAACACAATCATCACCAAATTCATTTTATTCACAGTATGATTTACATATGAGACTGATTTTCTAGACATGCTGAACAAGGATTTGTATATTCATATTCTGTCATATTGCTAAAGAAGAGTGAATCGGTTTTTTTTTCTTGAAAAATCTATGCATACTCAGAAAAAACTTTGGATAGAGATGTTGTAGCGCCTTAGGAAATGTCTACATTTAGTTTTCAAAAATGCTAATCTCAATTCAGAGGTTCTTTAAATTAAAATTCATGAAGTAAAAGTCGATGTTTCCTCTAACGCTAGATTTTTTTATTGATAACTTCTCTAAGCAAAGGTCTCTAGTACTAATTTTTTTGCAGAGTATCTCGAGTAACTTATCAAACATGTGTTTTTATTTTGCGGTATTACGTTGTCAACGAATGATTTTACTTAAATATTTATTCTTCAGACAAAAAAACATTGGTTTTGTTTGTTTTCTTAAATTAAGATATGCACAAATTCATGAAGAAAAATTACGTGCATTAAAAGAACAATTTGTTTGGATTGATACATTACCAACATCAACAAATATTGAACAAGAAAAACTTATATCTGATGATGATTTTGTTACAATTTATAATAAACGTATGACAGCTATAAAAGAAAAATTTCGTGATCAACTTGGTAATACATTTGCATCATCATCGACACCAATTGATCCTCAAGTTTATGCACAACATCTTTCTCAAATGCGACAACAATGTGGACTTGCTACAACACCAATTACAACAGGACAGGTAAATTTTATCATGTTTTTTATTTTTTATCTTCAATACTTTGTTTTTTTTATTATTATTATTTAGGATCCATTTGATGCTGAGGTATGATTCTTTGTTTTTTTTTCTCTGTCTGTTTATTATATATAAAAGTTTGTTCGTATGA